TGAGAAGCAGACCCATGTTAAGAGTCCCTTTGAGATACCGTAAGATGCGCTTGATAGCGGTATAATGACAGACCCGTGGAGCATGCATATGCATACATACCTGCTGAACCGCATAAGTAATATCTGGCCGCGTGAATGTAAGGTACTGAAGTGCGCCAGCAAGACTTCGGAACAGAGTGGGGTTATCGAAAAATTCCCCAGAGGAATGACTTGTCTTACCGGCGGTGTCAACGGGAGTAGCAACTGGGTTACAGTTTGACATATTCGCCCGTTCAAGAATCTCGGTGGCATACTTTGTTTGAGATAAGAACATCCCAGATTTGCCGCGAGTTACTGAAATCCCCAAGAAATAATGCAGTGGTCCGAGATCCTTCATGGCAAATTCTGTAGACAACTTAGACATAATCCAAGCCTTCAATGCGGAAGAAGAGGTGGTAAGAACAATATCATCCACATATAAAAGTAAATATGCAGTCTGACCTCCATGCTGGTATATAAAAAGAGAATGATCACACGAACTATGCCGGAACCCCAAAGATGTCACATATGCCATGAAGCGTTGATACCAAACCCGTGGGGCTTGTTTGAGACCATACAGGGACCGGTTTAGGCGACACACATGATGAGTGTGGTGTGGGTCACGAAAACCATAAGGCTGGTACATATAAACTGTCTCTTGCAAGTTCCCGTGAAGAAAAGCATTTTTGACATCAAGCTGACCAATATCCCAATTATGAAACAGAGCAATGTTCAGTACCGTACGTATAGTGGCCGGTTTGACAACCGGACTAAATGTCTCCTGACAATCTACACCAATCCGCTGAGATCGGCCATCACACACAAGTCTCGCCTTATACCGATCCAACGAACCATCCTCCTTCATTTTATGAGTAAAAATCCACATACACCGAATAATATTCATCTGCGACTGTCTAGGTACAAGCTCCCAAGTCTTATTATCAATAAGAGCCCAAAACTCATTGTCCATGGCATGTTTCCACACAGGGTTTTGTAAAGCTTCGGCCGGTGATCGTGGAAGAGGTTCAGGTGCAGTGGCCGAAAGGTTAAAAATTTGTTTGGGTTTGGATATCCCGGACATAAGCCGAGTGGTCATGGTACGGGTAGGGGGTGGGTTTGACGGCAGTGGCTGGCTGGGGGACTGTGGGTCATAAATGGGTTCTTGGGAGCTATTGGCAGGTGAGCTAGTAGGAGAAGGTGAAGTGGGTTGTGGGCAGCTATTAGGTGAGGCAGGTTCTGTAGGAATTTCAGTGGGCTGGGGTGAGGTTGTAGGGTGTTGAACAGAGGCCCAAATGGAGGGATGGGGCAATAAAAAGTCATATGTGGATTCTGGATTGGGTTTGGTTGGTGTAGCAAAGGGGAAAACAGTTTCGTCAAAAACCACATGACGAGAAATAATGATTTTTCTCGTGGATAATTCAAAACATTTGTACCCCCTATGATGTGAAGGATATCCCAAGAAGACACACGCGGAGGATCGGTTAGAGAGTTTATGAATAGTGGAGGAAGGAAAAAGAGGGTAACACAAACAAACAAACGTACGTAAATGATCGTATGTGGGATGTTTGTGAAACAAGAGAGAAGTAGGCGTGCGTAGATTCTTAGTTTTAGAAGGAAGAATATTATGTAAGTAAGTTGCCATTTGTAATGCATGGTGCCAAAAAGTGGGTGGAAGAGATGATTGAGCAAGTAAAGACCGAATAATGTTATTAAGTGACCGTATTTTCCTTTCGGCTTTACCATTTTGTGATGAGGTATATGGACAAGAAAAGCGGAATATCATACCATTTTGGCGACAAAACTGATGGAATGCTTGGTTATTATACTCGGTACCGTTATCACATTGAAAACTTTTAATAGGACAATTAAACTGTGTGGTTATATAAGTGGAGAAATTTTGAAAGATTGAGAAGACAGAAGATTTATTAAGTAAAGGAAATGTCCACAAGTAATTAGTAAAATCATCGAGAAACAATATGTAATAACGATGACCCCCCGTACTAACAACTGGAGAGGTCCAAACATCACTATGAACAATGTCAAAAGGCAACTGTGTAAATGAAACTGAATCATGAAAAGGTAGTTTGACATGTTTTCCAAACACACATGCTTGA